TAATTCCGTGGAAAGAAATTATATATAAGCTATAATATTCATATTATTATTATTGTTATTATTATTATTATTATCATTTATTTGCTTGTTTGTTTACTTTTCTTCATTATTGTGTTTTCCCAAGAAATTGCCTGTAATTTGTTTTTGACTTATAATGTGTTTGTCTATAATGTACACGTAATTACTTTCATCTACACTGTGCTAAGTCTGTAATTGGCCTTGCGGCTGTTGACTTGGCACATAAATAATAAAGAATTGAATTGAATTAATTTTTATGTATTTTTAAGAGAAATTAATGTTGTACGTTAAATGTCAGTGTAAACCATTCTAGTAAAGCTCTTTGATTTTCTACAAACATAAGCTCCAAAATTCGCAGACTCTGTGAATAATAATTTATATTAGTTATTAGAAAATAATGTCTTTTTGTAATTTGCAATTCGGTTGTGCTACTGTAAAATTGGGCTTTGATTTTGTTTAACCATATACGAATATATAAACAGCTAATTTTTTAAGGAGAACTCCTTTTAATGAATATAAGTAACTTTCTGGTTAAATGGGGGGTGTAGATATTATAGATCAAGAGGATGTTCGACACTTACACGTTCAAGGAACTTCGGCCTAATCATTTGGAATCCCAAAACTTCACTGCAACGGTTGCCAATGCTGTATTCATTGTGTCTAATCAAAGACAGCTAAACAGTACGACTGTCTGATCGTCCTGTATTCTGTTTTGATATTTATGCGGTAATCTTGATGTTGAGGACCAGAGGTTTGTTACTGTAGGCGTTCTATATCTGAGTTGAGAGCCCTCGGTAGTCACTGAAGGCGCTAGAGGGGAGACAAGTCCTCTTGGCCTCGCATTTCCCCTTCAGAAATTGCGAGAATTCTTATTAAAGTCACAACCCATGTTTTCATAGCAGTCCGGAATATAGTGGAGTAACAGTCCTTATTATGAGTCTCACGTAGAATATTCTCTCCAGCATAATTCACCACCCTTATTAGCTCTAATTACTAATCACAAAGCTTTTCTTTGGACGGGGAATTTTCATACTATACAAAGGCATTCCTTTCGAAGGAGAAAGGACATCTACCGGATAATTGACAACCATTGGATTAGAACCACGTATATGTACCGAGGAAGATCACTCATGCGATAATACTTCTAGTTTTCCGGTTCTCTCCGCTTATAAATCTTTGCCGGACATCCTTTATCGTGACTAGAAGTTTCTGTGGTTTCCCTCAGTCTCTCCAAATGGTGCCACAGTAGGCCACTACAGCCTCCTTCCATATCCTTTAAAATTCATTGAACACGATCATCAGAACATTTGATGCTATAGAGTTTGTAACTGGAATAACCTTTAAGGAGGGTACAAATGAAATAAATAAAGCCACATGTAGAATTGGAGCCGGGACAGATAAGTCTGTATAGCGATGGACTGCGGGTTGGACGGCCGGTGTTTGATTCCAGACAGGGGTAAGATATTTTTCTTTTCTTCCATAGCGTGCAGACTGGTTGTGGAGCCCACCCAGCCTCCTATCCAACTGGTACCCGGACATTTTTCCTTGGGGGTAAAGCGACCGGAGAGTGAAGCTAACTACTCACCTCCATCTGGTTTGGGGTTGGGTACCACTCTTGTTTCATATACATGGAGTTCCGGCCTCGAATCTTGTCCAGAACACCGATTATCGCGACTTTTTCAGGGGTTTCCTCAGTTCCTGCAGTTAAATTGCAAGATAAGGTTATAAAAATATAAGTATCTCACTGTTCAGTATCCATCACCATTTCACCTTTCAGAGTAATCCCTCCATTGACCAGCACAAAACTGTGCATTTAAGAAATGAACCGGGAGTTTGGATTCTCAATGAACAGTTCTGTTCCCACTGATATTTCTGTTTTCATTATCCGTACAATATATTAATTTGTAACTTATTTTTATGGAAAAGCACATTTTCTCGTTGCACTGCCGCTTGCAGCAACTCTTCTATTATTGCTTGACGTTACAGCTTACGTGACGCGTTCCTCTGCTGCTCGTATGCGGACCCGGCAATGGTTTTTCTGTGCGTCCACAATTCTTGCTTTGAGCAAATATGCCACAGTATTAATTGTTTTGATAATGAGTTGAATGATCCGGGTCTGTCACCAGAGGAAGAATTTTAACTGGTCTGAGAATCACATTACTGAGATAATTTAGCAAGTCAATCACGTCAACTGTATCCCGTTTGTTAAATTGGTAGATTACGTTTTGGTTCGTTGAGTCATTATGTAGTTTAATCAGTCAAGTCAATTAGTGCATCAGTCAGTCGGTCGCTCAGATAAATTGGTTGTTTACTTCAGATATTAAACCAAGCGATTCCAATCAATCAGAATTAGTATGCTAATTTGGTTGGTTAGATATTTATATTAGTATAGGTTCATAAGTAGCTAGGAAGCTGATAGTTGCCCTGTTATTTATAGTTTATACGTTCAAATTCTCTTCTCACTCATTTATTTCTTCACTCTTTCTTCTTTCGTAGAAGGGGCGATCAAGAATACAGGCCAATTAATGAAGTAAAGTTGCTCCCATGATTAACCAATTGAGCACTAGGCCATGAAGTCATATGGGGGCGTGAATGTATAGAGCCAGGTTTTCTTGATCTCAGTATTAGTTGGAGCGTGCCAAGACATAACTTTTTGTTTTTATGATCATTCACCTAGTCTTAAAAACTACTTAAGCAGTTGATTGAATGTTTCTTCGCGCTGAATCGGAAGTTGCATAGCCTCATCTTCCATTGACCCATCTTCCTGTATGTCGCTTGCTTTCAGCGCCATCTTGCCGAGTGCTGGGGGCGGACGCCAGCAGCGGAAATTTTGGCCAAGGAAGCGCCCCGCCGTTAACTAAATCTATAGACCTTGAGTATTTATTCAGACTGCTGAGAGAAGCAGAATATACAGTTCGATGCAGTTGCTGTGAGCTAACACTCCCATTAAGGCATATACATTTCGTGCAGTATTGAAGATATTGCTGATAGACTTAGTTTATTAAATGACGATATATCAAGAGCAGTAATGGTTAGGCAAAGGATAATATAAGAGAAGTACTGAGAATGGACAATTATGAGGAGTTAAAGAGGAAACAATAAACGTTCAAAGAAATTGTAATTCCTGTTATGCCTTAAATATAGTTCTACTGTCTGTCACTTTATCATGCTTGCAAGATGTGCATATAAAGATAATTTCTTGAAATTAAAAATTTTCATTACACGAATATTGCTTACCTACCGACGTAGAAGTAAATCATTCACTTTGAAAAAGGAAGCTGGTTTATTAAAATTACTGTATTGTAGCGTATTTATTTCTACATATTACTATTATTTGCTTCAGGAATGTTCCCTTGAAACTATCGCTTATTGTACTTGTTAGTGTTGATGCATGTCATTGCTGTGTACAGGTTATTAATAAGGTATGCTTAGCCGTCTGTCAAACTGTACTTGCTTTGAAATGAGTCTGTTTCTGTCTTTAGTTGAAACCATGACACATGCAACTGAAATATTTTTGTATATTGCATCTATATTCTTTAGTTTTGCATGAAAGTGTGTACTCTTTGAAGTTGACACCTGCTTGTAATAAATACGAGAGCATTTGAAAAATGTTACAGTACACTTCTCTATTTTTGGTGACCTGATATTTTTAAATATAAAGCTGAATATTGAAGAAATGTGTTTCATCTGTAGAATATGTTCTTTGGACTACAGTATGGAACTTGTGAGACACATACTGATTGAGCTGACTTCAGTTAGCTATTTAATGTATATTAATGTATTAATAGAAATACACTGTATTGTTTACTTCATTTTATATTTGAATATCAAAGTTTTTACCAAATATATTCCATTGCGAAATTAACTTTCAATTGAAGTTAAACCTTTTGAAGATAAGGTCCTATTTTTTATAAATTTCCATTACAAAATTAAACGAAAGTTAATAATAATGACTTCATCTGTTTGTATGAAGTACCTTCTCAGGCCGCCCAGTAGAATTCCTGGAAAACAGTGAATTTAACCGCTCCATGTGTTTAAGCTGATAAGAACGAATGCCACATTTACCCTGAAATTGGCCACATACGCCGAAATGTTATAGCAGTTTCAAGAGAAGCGGCTAAGTCCCAAGAGCGGAAGTTGCGAGATATTTTAATATCAGCTCCCAGGTTCTCTGCCTTCCAAGTAAGTAGTTTTGGCCTTATTATGCATCCTATGTGGCCCGCCAGTGTTCTCTTAATCTAATTTTCTTTAATGTTAGTGGGGTGGGACTGAGTCCCTTGTACTGCGGCCACTTCTGGCCTATTGTACCAGCCCCAGATGATAGGTGAGGGTGATTGAGGAGCAATTGGTGGAATGAAGATTAGCAGGGGAAACCGAAGTGCTCTGAGAAAACCTGCCCCAGCGCCACTTTGTCCACCACAAACCCCAACTAGACCAGACCCGGGATTGAACCCGGGCCGCCGCGATGGGAAGCCAGCGACTAACCGCTTGAGCTATGACGCGGCCCTTCCTCTTAATCTAGCTACCCAAAATTTGTAGAAATCTAATGTATGCATGGAGTTATAAATAATTCACGAAATAAATTTAGAATGAAGTAATAAACACTGAAAATACATTCTGGTTTGTGACATTGTATAGTCTGCTAGACTTTTACTGACATATTGGATGACGTTACTGCTACGATCACGAGCAGAATCTACCGTATAGTGTGATCGAAGTAGTAGTATCTTCTTATTGCCTGCCTTATATTAAATCCTGAACATGGAGGCAGTACTTTATTCCGAAACGTAGATGAACTTCTCCCAGACTACACAACGTCACATCCCATAAGATAGACACCTCTGCGATAACCTCAAAACCAACTTCATGAATACACAGACAAACGTCCTCCCCCCCCTCCCCTTGTAGTCGAGCAGTCTGGAACAAAGACTGTATCCTGTACATGAAGAAATAATTTCATGCTGTGTTTTCACTGCACATAGCTGTACCTGACTTCGAATGTGTCAACGTCTGACTTCAACATGGGCTACAGCATGACTGGTACCCTGGAGCGAGGAAGCAAGAAGAGCAACTCCTTCCAGATGACTCACTTCGCAGTCATCAGACGCCGAGATTATGAGAAACCTTAGTCCGATATTAATCTCTGCCCTGCAGACAGAAACGCTGACGACGAAACCCAAGAAGAAGAAGAAGCGTCGACCAACATCAGCCAGAGCAGTTCTTTGTGCTTTCTGTTGGATGGCTGATGTTCAAATCTTGTTCGTAATTTCTCAATAGATTTCGATGCGGTCGAAGGATATATATTCTGTGTATAGCCAACTTCGCACGTCCTATAACATAACTACTTTACAATGACTTTTTCATAAAAGATGTCAGTGAAGAGGGAGGAAATATTGTTGAAATAATAATACGTACACTTAGCTGACGTTTTCATAAGAAAAGTGGATTCGTGCATATTTCATCAACGTAAGTGTTATTTACTTCGTGTGTGAGTTTTATTAAAGGTATACAAAGAAATAACCGTGACTAGGTCACATTGAAGTCTATTATGTACTTAACGTAGTCACAACAATTGTCTTATTTTTGTTATTGGGTTTACAGAATGCACTGGTATTATTTGCGAGCTGGAGAATAAGAGTAATACACAAATATTACTCGGAAGCATTATCCTCTACTAGTGTCAGTACATGGTATATTTTCCTGCTTATCTACAGCAGATTTTAAAAGCAATTCTCCTTCGAAGAATTACTCTGCCACCAGTTGTTACATGTCTTGTATATTTGGCTTCTTATGCATGTTCGGAATCAGCAATGTACGACATTGCAGAATTCATGCTAAGATGAAGATCTCGTGATGTTGCCTGCAATGCTTAACTAAACTTTGGAGGTTCTTAGCATTCTTCACATAAAATACATAAAATGTATGTATTATGTCCGTCCGCATGTTTCGTCTCCAATAGTAAACAGCTTTTGATTAAATAGCATTCTAGGATTTACACTTAAAAGTTAAGGAATTTAATCTTGATCCATGTAATTTCATATAATCCCTACTTTACATGGCGCTAGAATAAAACTATATCGTTATAATCAAAAAGAGGATTCATCGAAGGAAAAATTGGAAGAAAACGCATAATGTAATAATTTGGTGATGCTTGCAACTTTTGCATGAAACATATTTTGATATTGCGTATATTTCGTTAGATAAGAAATATTAGAGTGAAGAGATGAACTCCGGTATGGAGCACACATATTTTTCATATGTACTTTTGGTATTTTGCATGACTTCATTGACCCTGATATTCATTTATTGCTGATAACAAACCTTGTGACGAGGTAATCATAATATCTTCTCATCATTTAATTTGTAATTAAATCTTGAATCTTGTACACGATATTCCTATGGAACAGGTTAAAATTCCCTTAGTTGAACTGCCTTCTTCACTTTTCTTTTGGTTTCTTTACTTTAACGCCATTCATACGACTTAATTTTTAAATATTCTATATATACACGTATATATACATATATATAGATTGGATTGATCTGGCTCAGGATAGAGACCAGTGGAGAGCTCTTCTGAACACGGTAATGAACTTTCTGGTTCCATAAAATGCTGGGAAATTCTTGAGCAGCTGCAGATTTGGTTTCTCCTCAAGAAGGGCTCAGCTCCATAAGTAAGTAATATATATATTTTTTTCTGTGGCGCTACAGCCCCAATTTGAGCCTAGGCCTACCTCCATGAAACTCTCCGTTTCACTTCGGTTTACTAGATCTATACATGCGGTAGGACTCCTTGGGCGAGTGATCAGCTCGTCGCAAGGCCTCTACCTATAGACAAACACAGAAAAACGCACACGAACATCCATGCCCTGAGTGAGATTCGAACCCATGATCCCGGCTTCCGAGCGAGTGAAGACAGTGCATGCCTTAGACCGCTCGGCTACTGTGACCGGCAAGTAATATATATAGTGTGTATATATATTAAATCACGTTAACTTTCCCTAGCTCTTGAGTAAAACTACTTTATAACAAGTATCTCGTAGAATTAAGTGTTTATCTCTGATTTTCTTCAGCAACGTAAGTAAGAATAAATGAAAGCTAATAGGAAGTTATATTGCAGTCATACTCATAACACCGACGGAGAGACAAAAGTATTTTTGCTTCTTCTTGGCGAAACACCCACCATAAAAAAACATTTCAGTTTCGTGTAAAGTCGGATCTCTGTGTTAGTGGCACGAATAGAAATTAAACGTTTAGTATGTATGACCAATATGAGGTTTCCATCCACATCTGTTCAGTAGATTGGGATATGAGACTTGTAGGCAAATGGACAGGCTCTACAGTCCCGTTGAGATCTCATTCGTCTATATATTTTGAAGAAAATAAGCACACAAAAGAAATTATTGACTACACATTGGTTCATGTGACGTGATATGTTTTTCAGCAATAGATATTTATCTGTAGTGAATGAATATCAGTGCTGATGATGTTTACAAACTAGCAAAGATTACATTTGTAAGTTATGTATACTCCAAATGGAGTACACCATATCACGAATGAAGCTCCAAAATAGTTATGAAATTATTCTTATTCCTGTTTTAACATGTTTCATATACACATGTATGTTTATCACACTCCGTCCTTCGTACGACGTGCTTTTTTTCACCTCAAAAGCGTTAAGCATTTAGGCCATAGATTTTTCATATATCCTTACATCCGTTTTAAATGTTTAGAAGGTGAAATGTTTGAATAACAAATAATGCCAAATAGCAACACGTCTTAGTTTGATATATTAGCTTCGTAATTTAAGAACTCTCATTTATGATTCAGAAGAATATTTCTCTTATCCAATGCGCGCCACGCTACGTATATTGTAACAAAGTGTTTCGATTTCAAAATTGGAATTAGGCCTTCGACTAGAAGTATACAGTCATGAATCAGAAGGTTTCATTCGAAATCGTATGTGTACACGCCATAAAAGCCTTAAGGTTCTGGCAGTCTTACTTCTTTACAAATCTACAGTACTTTTAATGAAAATTTCACCCCTTTGACGTGAGATATTAGCTTTACTGTTAATCACGTCGCTTGGCACTAAGAATGTAATCATCCGCTTTGACAACCCTAGGCGCCTTGAACTCACATTTTGTTATGATTCCTCCTGAAAACTTGAACTTAAGGGATGTCAAATCAGTTTCCTTCCGTATGGATGACTTCCTCATTAACCCTCAGTTTCCGGGAGAAACAAAATTTCTCTGTCTTACTGAAACTGTCTCTAAGGAGATAAAGTTCGAAGGCCAAAAATTTGAGGAGGAAAATCATAACAAGCAAAGCGGAAAACAGTTCTGGATGGCCGACTCTTGTTATCGTCACAGTCAGAATGTTTGTTTGTAACAAAACTGATATCAGAGGAGGAAGGAAATGAAAAACTGGCTGAGGTTTTTGGAATTCACTTTACGAATCACTAACATGTTGACGAGAACACTTAAAGTCTGCTTTATGGAGAGAAGTGAGATGTGTAAATAGCGTTTTCTTATGTATGGATCCATTGCCCTTACTGAATATATTAAAATTTACATGATGAGTTTCATAACTTGCACAGCTTAGCAAATGCTGTTAAAGTTATCAGAATAAAAATCAGGAACAATGCATATAGGAGACATGAAAAAGAAGAAGATGAATACAGAAGTTAAATCTGTAAGCCTAAATTGAAGAAGTTACTTGGGAATTCTAGGCACAGATCTGAGGATTATATTAAATTATATCTTTTGCTGTCGATGCATAGATCAGTATTATCTGACTCGGACCAGGGCACAGGAGTGGCTTCTGTGATCACTGTGATATATCATCTGGTTCCCTAAAAGATAGAGAATTCGTCTGACACAATCAGCGCCTCAAAAAGAACTCTGCTGCATAAAATTAGTTGTTGCGTAACCCAATTAACTTTGACCTCCTTTTGTAACTACATGCTGCTACGTACTCATAGATTCCGTGCATATATTTATGAATCATTGATCATAATAATGACAACCGTCCATCTGTTTGAAACTTGGCGTCATATGCGTTCATGTGCATACAGGAAACCGATAGTTAGATTACAATTAAATGATACTTCAAGTTTCCATAACGATGCATTTGTGATGAAAGACATTAGGGTGTGTCATCGCGTAGAAACGAGAAAATTTCACCGTCCATTCGGAGTAACTTGCTGTCTTCTTCAGAGTTAAAGCAACTTAATATAAAACACGTTAGTCTTAACAGAACCGTAATTGTTTCCCACCTACATCTACATGAGAGATGGGATGAGGCGCTATGGATTGGATTGAACTGGCTCGGGGTAGGGATTACTGGATGGCTCTTTTGAACACGGTAGTGAACCTTCGGGTTCCATATAAAGTGCTGGGAAAATCTTGAAGGGCTCAGTTCCATGGAGTCATACACGTATACCTAAAGACTGCAATGAAAGCCGATCGGCTTCCCCTGATCAACAGACAAATCGGCATATGCAAACCCGCATTTTAAATGAGCATCGTCGAAAGAAGCGGTGCTCGAATGGCTTAAGATCCAACACAGGACAGTGACGGAATCAGGCAACGTCTTGAACATTATAAGAAATATATTGAAAATCACGACGATCACGTGTCTTAACTACTGCACGAATATTTTCTGGAAACGTATAATAACATTACCTTAAGTTATCACATGGCGATATANGAAAAATATATCTTATATCAAGCATTAATTGTAAACATGCTGTCAAAGCTCACTACTGAATATCAGTCTGATTTACATTTCGAAACACAAAAGCTCAAAGAAAAATGGCAGTAATTTTATGCCTCTTCGTGCTTGTCTTAATATCTATTTCTGCTATAGGTTATTAATTAGTTGCATATGTGCCCGAACTCGTGGTGGGGTTTCAAGTGGTTAGACTGTTGGAGTGAAACACGAAGACACATGAAACAGGTGGAACTGGGGATATTGATGGGGAGGGAGAGAGAGAGCAAGCAGTTGCGCGCGCATTGTACCTAAGTGACGCTCACCCTCAGAGTGATTTACACAAGATGGCGACGGTTCAAAGGAAAGTGTAGTGTGTTTTGTGGCTTGCAGAATTTGAATATCTAAGTCAAGTGCGACGTGAGTACTGTCTTGTGTTTAACGGAGAACCACCACACGAAAATAGCCTCGTTGGGATAGACAGCTGAAAGAGACGGGAAGTCTACTGAACAAACAGCGTCATGGAAGACCATCCGTTAGTGATGAGTCGGTGGAAAACATTCGAAACAGTTTTACCCGCAGTCCGAAGAAATCAGTGTATAAATG